TTAATTAACACTCGGGTAAACCACGTTAACAGCTTGATGAGTGAGATTTAATATACACAAGATAAACAACGTAGTAGACAGGTAACGTATGAGATTCCTTCGTAGAGTGTTTTAAGAAAACTTTTGTAACCAACAGAGAAATCTTTTGAATACGTATAAATTAGTTCCGTATTTCTACACAGGGAGGCTACGGCCAACAACCAGTGTACCCTTCAATCCCCACACCCCATTCATTTAGCTACGTTGCACCCGCTGACGGCGGTTTTAGCGCACGACAGGAGGTTGGAGATGGATATGGGAACGTAAGAGGAACTTACAAGCTTTCTGACCCAGATGGACGATTTAGGAAAGTCCAATACACTGCTGGTCCTGAAGGATTCCGAGCTCAAGTCTACACCAACGAACCTGGTACCAAGAGTGAAAGTCCTGCTGACGTCAATTTCCAATCCTCTGCTCCTGTTCCACCTCCTTATTACCCACCTAGGCAACGCCCTGGACACGGAACCCCTGGTGGTGGAGGTGGTTATCCAAAACACCCTCTTCCAGCTAGCAGACCTTGGCAATAACTTGGCCGATTCTATAATATAACTTTATGGAAATGTTTCTGTTTATCTCGGTGGCAGTAAATAACAAGAAACAGTGAGATTGGCTTGATCTTTAAGTAAATTCGTTACGAAAATCCTCATTTATAAACTAGAGGATAAGCAGACAATACCAATTCCGTTGTTAAATAATCAGACAAATAATTCATCAATAAATACATCTATTTACATATTTTTATTTATAAATCACATTTTTTTTGTTCTTGTGCTACATGCAGTACCAGTAATTCATAAAGCTCAGCTATCCAGTAAAATCATAAAAATATCGACATCCAAAACCGTAATTTTCATAAAGTCACTGTAACTATAGTTGTATCTATCTATTAAAGAAAACATTGTTGGAAGTCTTGTATTTTATGTTTAAAAAGCAGAAATAATTATAAATAGAGAAGAAACATTTATGAAATATCAAATCATAAAATAACTGATAAAACTTTATTGACCAGTTAGTTTAAACCTACAAGTAACTACTGTGATCAAGATAACATATTAATAATGTCAAAATGCCCGAGAACAGCTTCCAAACAAATAATGAACGTAGATTCTTTAACACATTCGATCTGTAGTCCACAAAAATACAAACTAAAAGTGTTCTTATCAACATGAAAGCAGGGATCAAATTGTTCACAATCTTGGTCTAACACGTTTTATAAATATTCGCTAGATGGCGATATGTTCTCCACGAAGATTAATTTGTTTCTCTATTGTTAAGACACGATAAACCCCCATTTACCACAGAGCTATCAGGGGGCTCTTTACGAAGGACAATATAGTAGATAAAATGGTGTCCCACATATCAAACACTTTGTTTGATTTATTATCTATTATG